GAAGTAAGGAAAGTCGTGTAAAGTGCCTTTCCCAAGGGCACAAGATCAGTGGCATGTCAGGACTCGAACCCGGGGCCTCTGGTTCCGAGTCGAGAACGCTGCCGCTGCGCCACACGAACTCAATGTGTGTATGTCGATGAAGGTTAGACATCAAGGTAACTAGATACGCCAAAAACAGTTAACAGACACTCAAGCAACTGGATATAGTATGAAAAATGATATCCAGTTGCTTGAGTAACTGTTTTTTGGAGATGTGTGTGTTACAGTACCGTGTCGTCACAATTATCATCCTGGCATCGTTTCTGTAGTGGAGTTAGGGTGTGATCCGGACAGAGGATCGTCAGCTGGGCATCATGTCGTTGTTGTTCTCCTTGTTGAAGGACCTTCTGGTTCACCAGGGTAGACAGCTCACCTGCGTGGTCAGAATGGCGCGACGATACGAAGACCAGGTTCGGTAGCTGTCCTGTAGAATATAGAAAAAGAACTTTATTGCACGACAATTGCACATGGTACAATGTATGGCAAACTACATAAAGAGAGTAAAAACAATAAAATAAGTGAGTTGAATAAGACCTAATGTCGAATAAAACCTAACATATCTATATCATAATTATTCAAATAATAAGGGATATCACAAGTCTTTGATAACTGTTACAATCGAGTGTGCTAATCACGAGTTTCCGTATTTTTTCTAATAGCAAAGCATTCCTTTATATATCTAGCTATTTTTGCGTTGTGGGGACCATTTAATGTAAAGATATATCCAAATCTGTCTGTAACATCGAGACTCTTGAAATCTATGGTACTTGATTCGAGAAAATGTGAATAGCTTGTTACGTATATAAGTTTTCAGTGGCAGGTTGGATTCATTCAGTTCATTGGTATTGGTTTGGCTTAAGTTCGACCCTCACAGCCAGGGCTAGTGGCTATTACAAAGGGCTTGCACTGCTGACAAGACATGATAATTAAAAACAATGCAGCATCATAAAAGGCGACTTAATAATCTACAAAGTATTACATTATTCTACTTTGGTAAATAAAAACCTTCCACAAAGGCACCTTTTATCTAATTTGACTCACTAGAATAAGCCTCATACAGAGAAGAATGATAGATACAGTGTGACATGATAGTTAATAAAAGTTAAGATACGTAGTGATAAAATGAACCCACCTGCTAGCTCCTGGCAGGACCTGAGAACTCCCAGACCGACATTTATCAGTATTACCGGGGAACCGTTGAACATGACCGTCACTGAAGAACTAGGGCTGCCCTCAAATGCAGCTGTAGTATAGGTAATGAAATGAGACGTCCAATGACCTTAAATGTGGTATAGATTTTATGCATCTCTGTGTGAACTAAAGAGACTAAAGAACTAAATGAACTGTAAATATTTCATAATGTGTTAATATATTTAGGTGTTATTACATTTTATCCACTTGATTGATTTTGATACTTTCTGTAAAGTCTGACGCTAATTCAGTCTGCTGAGTGCTATGTCAGATTGTGTTGAATTCCTTCCAATAAACTAATCATCATCATCATCATCATGACAGACAACATGTATCACACGTATGTATTACATGTACCACAGGAAGAGTGGCTAACAGAAATGCCAAGCGAATTGTAGATCACAAGTCATTGTCATTGTAATGATTAGTTATGATTTCAATCTACGGTAGATAGTGTGCACGTGGCTTTTCAAGCAATATTCAAAGTTACGCCACGTAAGAAAGTTTCTAAAGTTTTCACGACTCGTACCAGCTGCAGCATCTCCGGTACCCAGGCAGAGGAGCTCGAGGTGCCCTGCGTCAGTCTTCAAAGGGGCGGAACCAAATAGCATCTGCAGCACCTGGTCAAAAGAGGATTTCACTTAACTTGTTAAAAGTTGAAATTTAGATAATAAATTTAGTAAATTTAAAGGTTTCTCGCCTAGAGCTTTCGACCAGTCCAACACAATAAAGTTCTTTCACTTAGAGCGGAAGACCGGTCACTATGGTCTTCCTCAGTAGACTGACCCAGTGAGGCTTTATCATGTGGCTTCTTTGAAGCGTGACGTCAACACTGGGTCAAAGGTATCTGGTAGACTATGTCAACCCCCGTCGCGGTTGAGTGAAAGTGATAGGCCCTGATGTAAATAGCCACGTGACAAGCCTCACTGGGTCAGATGACTGAGGAAGACCATAGTGACCGGTCTTCCGCTCTAGGTGAAAGAACTTTATTGGATCTAAAGTTTTAACTTTAAACATGTAACTACCAACACAGATGAACTTTCATGATAGTATAAGAAGTGACTTCACTTAACATTAACGTTGAGCCTACTTTAAGGATATTTAACAATGAGATTACAAAGTAATAATATAAAACAAGATTTACAATGATTGTACATTTTACCTTAGACATGGACGGCCGCTGTGCCTCCACTCTCAGACATCCTTTAATTGTTGGTTTCATCCTCGGCCCAAACTCATCGCAGTTTTTCTATGAAAAGATACGCATAATGTAGAGTTCTTTATTGTAAGTTCATGCCAGTGAGCAAATTGCAAACAGAGATATTGACAAGAACAGTGAGTACTGAAAGTATTGAGGAGTGGTATAAAACTATATGGCTAACATGAAGTTTTACGAAGTACTAATCTAACTCTGTAAGAGTAATAGTCAGTTGTGCCATTTCATCTCTTGGGAACTGGCACCCTAGTGGATATCATTATATTCACATTGGCATGATGTAAATCCTTACCGGGATGTCAGGCAGCCCCCCGCGTAGCTTTTCATCCATCGCATGCTTGTGTATGGCGATGTTGCTGAAGACCATCTCTCCACCAATCAGCTCAATCAAGCATAAAGCTGCAAAAAGAGGCAACGCACTTAGAAAACTCAAGAACTAAAAAAAGTACTACGTAACTACTTCAACTACTCAGAACCAATTCTTCAGACACTTTTTATTGAAGGTTTTCCTGTACCAAGATCCATGGAGTAACGAATTGTACCTACATACCGTAACTGTACACGTCTGCCTTCTTGGAGTAGTGCCCGCTCGATGACTTCACTTCAGGGGCCATATAGCGGTAGGACCCGATGATGGTCTTGGTTTGCCGTGTGCCCTCGGTCACTCGGGCGAGACCGAAGTCACCCAACTTGAAGATGCTGTGGTCCTCTGAAATCTGAAATCCATGTACATTTTGGATTAAGGATTCTGCATCTGTATCCATGATCTGTATAGCCAGTATAGCCTATCAATATATACTATCAACCATAGTTACTGTATCTCTAACCAGGACAAAGAGGACATATATAGTTATCGTCATGTTAGATTGCCTGCTTTGGTATTTGTGTGGGAAAACTGTAACGGACCAAGAAAACAACAATTCTGTACCTTAGGTGTAAAAATACAAAAGTACACGTTCAGTCGCATGAATAGGTACTGCGTAGACTTACGAAGACGTTTTCTGGTTTGACGTCCCTGTGCATGACGTCCTTTCCGTGCAGGTACTCCAGTGCGAGACCGATCTGTCTGGCGAACCTCAGCACGAAGTCCTTCTCCTGAGCTCCAGACTTCCTGAGGTGGTCCCGGAGGTTTCCCCCGTCCACAAACTCCATGATGATCCCCAGTCTGTTGTCCTGCACGATGCAGTCTACCACTTGGACGATGTTGGCGTGTTTCATATCTCTGTGGAGGAGAACAAATCATAATGACAAATAAACTGTTATCCAACTCAAAATAATTTGACTTGCTGGAATTTTGCGACCTAATCTCTCGGTCTTCATCAGCTATCCGACCAAAGTGCTGTAGACATGTGATTTTGTCGGACATGTGACGTCAGCACTGGGTCAGTTTGTCGGAAGTTGGTACCGCCCCCCGTCCCGGTTGACAAATCATGACTGCAGCCAGTTCAAAATGTGCCTTAGTGTAACCTAGACATTGAAGATGCGGAGAGAATGTAGGACTCGGAAGCTAAAACAGTACATAATTTGCAGTTAGTAGAAATTCTTCGATCAGTGACTATATTTTTGTATTTTCCGCAAGGAGGTGGGGGAGGCCAGAAGATCCACACAAGTCTCGACCTAGTCTCGTGTTCTCGCGAGACTATGTCATTCCGTGATCAAGGTGTACAGTCGACACCGAAAACTTGGAGTTACGTGATTTACCTTACAAAAATACAGTCACTGATCGAAGAATTGCCACTAACTATTAATTCTACGTGACTGATGAACCTCTTCAACAGTATATAATTTGTTAACCAGGCTAGATTATCACAACAGCAGTTTTGCGTTACATAACGTCCATAGGTTCTGAAGTACCTTAGAAGTTTGAATTCATCTTGGAAGGCCTTCAGGTCTCTTGTATATTGGACTTCATTGAGAATCTTGACGGCCACTGGGCGTCCCTGTCGTGTGGCCCTGTGCACGGTGCTAAAGCTGCCGCTGCCGATCTGTCAAAATGAAGGTTTGTTATGATTTTCAATATCATCATCTATCTGCTTATCAACCACTTTTTTTGAACTTCTTCCTTCTTCTCCTCCATGCATATTCTGAAATAGAAAAATGCCTAAAATTTGTATTATCTTGTATGATCTTAGTTAAAGTGTCAACCCATCAGTGCAAAGTACATAGATAGGAAGGCACAAAAACACTATCGTATTGAAACTAATGATTTCAATTTTTCAATTTCAATTTTATTAAACTCGATCAACATGGCAGGAGTACTCAGCACTCCTGAATTGCGTCGACTTTACAATATTCATGATACAAGAGGAAACACAGGGCAATTACATACATACAGGTAACATCACTGTTCCCCATGCAAGAACCAAACGGCTGCAACAGTCCTTCCTGCACTACACCATTAGACTCTACAATAACCTACATTGAACCTACACTGGACTTTGCATAGCCTGACCAGGCAACTTTGTGCATATGTTGTAAATAATTTTTTGGCGACGCCCTTTGGGGGCGGAGGCATTTGTGTAAGTACTACGATCGCTTTGAAAGAATTTCAAAAATTGCACGAATGCATTCCCTGGGGAATTGGTTTTGAGGAAACCTTCGGCCATGTGGTTTTTGGATCAAGCAGGTAACTTACACCGGTGCCCACGTGCCACCCATCCAGCTGCCTGGCATGATTAATTACTGGACATTTGTCTTCTCCCCACACCATGGACAGAGAGCACAGCTGTCTTTGGCCAAAGACCATATCAGATCACAGAGAGAAAAGAAATTGTCCGTCCTTTTGGATCCCACAAAAGGTAAAAAAAAGTCAAAGGAGTAACAACTCCAGACCAGACATAAAATCCAGTCTCTGGTGGAGGATAGAGTGAAGTGAAATGGAGGATGGTTTGGTAAAAAGTAAAGTAAGTAAGTATGTCATCATAAAATCTATATTGCTGGGGAAGAACGGCTGATTCCTCCTATACGTGTATTTGGTATATTGCCCCACACATCCTCCACCCATCCTGTAAATTTCACTATGTGCATGTCTTTATAAGATAAATCTGTTTTTCTTATAATTGTAATGTAGTTTGCTAGCTCCACCACATGAAATAATATATATCATTCAGTCGTCGCCTTGGCAATGATTTTTATTGCCTCAGCCTTGTTATATGTGTCTTTTGTATATATGTTAGTTTAGATGTATTATTTTTCAATCTGAACGCTGTTTTTCAAATAATGTGACAAATTGTACCTAATTCAGGGGTATGCGCTTCTGCTCCCCCTGCTGTTGTACATTTGCAAAATGATAAGCAATAAATAAAGAACAAGAACATGCAACGTGAAAAACACTAAGCGATATTTCCTCAAGATGCACCTTGATGAAGTCACTTCCTTGGTCCAGCTTCTTGTTGGTCAAAAGGTGGATTTCACTCATGCTCTGTAGCATCTCCAGGTCTTCTTTCTAAACAACATAGAAACAAAACTATTTTTTTCTGTCACAAACAAAAGATCATATGTAGCTCTAAAGGACAGACACAAATTTAAGAGCAGTGTTAACTGTCACCTCAGTGGTATTGGACAGCGCCCTTGTGACAGCTGCTAAGCTGAGTCTGACATTGCATAGATAAAAAAATGTGTATATATATATATATATATATATATATATATAT